AGAGGGTGAAGGCTAGGAACCAACGCCCGACCAATCAGACGGCGTGAAACCGAAGATTGGAAGAGTCACTACAGACCGCAAACGTTACTGTTATTGCGCTGGCTACACGTTACCAGTCGCCCCGGTGGTCTAGTGGAAAGCTCGAATCGTGTCGTGAGTTCGAATCCCCCCATGGGGTGAAGAAATTTACAAATTTGCGGGTGAAAGCGAAAAAATCTGAAAGCTCTTGCGAGTACAGTACAAAACTTCGACGGTAGCACCGTTAACGAGGGAAAGGGAAGGCTGGACCCTTGTCGCGATAAAAAATAAAATCAGCACGCACCGCAGGAGGAAGGTGGGGCGCGAAAATATATTAAAATAAAGAGCAAAAAAGCCCCGGTGTTTACCCCCCTCCTGTGTGTGACCCTGGATGGTTGTAATTGTAAGAAAAATTCACTGGAAAATGCAGTACTCTACACACACGTCTCACCACGAAAAATGGGGGGACTGTCCCCATAATTAATAAGACGAAAATATACACACACACGCAGACACACACAACCGCACTGACACTAACGTATTTTCATTGGTCAGCCGGTTAGCGCGGTCGATGCTAATAATACTAGATAAGGCGGGGTAATGAGCCACGGGGTAGCGACTCAATACCTTGCAGTAGCCTTTTCTGCGATGCTGATGGTGCACGAAGGAATCTCGACACACAGCAGCATTTGTGGTTCAGCTTCGTGCACCAGAGGAGCAGGGGTGCGACGGGCGCGACGATGGTTGAATGTGCGGCCCCCGTTTAATATCTTGCACTTTACATGCGGTTGTTTGTTTTACGTTGATGCACATGCACACACCCACGAAGAACCAAAATATGAAGTCTTCCCGCTGTGCGGACGCAAACACGCACATCTGGAAGAGGCACGCATGCGGCATACCTGTCGGCGAGCGTATCCGCACCACAGCGCCCGAGGAGCACGACCAGCAGCGTAGACATAGGATTGTGACAGGCAGATGTGTGACAGACAGATGGCACATATTGCGTCAGGCTCACAACTTGCCCGCGACAGTCTCCTTAAGCCTTCCGATTTTCCCGCCAAGTGAAGGCAAGCAGTCTAGATCACGGGACAATACTACAGCACATGCGCCAAAAACAACAAAGCCGTTGATGATCATGACTTTGATGCGAGAGACCCAGCAGCAGCAAGAGCAGGCTGGGCTCGGCTTTCGCGAAGACAGTCAGTAGCGCCGCGCAAGCTCGCAACCTGAACCGATCCCGGGAAACCATCCTGATAATGTAGACCCTCACGCCCTCGATGGTTTCTCTCGATGGTAGATGTGATCTGGACTTGGGAAGTTGTGTATGTTGTGTGTTTGTGATCATCGGTCTGCTGTTCTTTGTGCAGTCGGTTGGACCCACTCAACATCAATGAGCACCCGCCAGGTTACACATGGCGCTTGACTATACCCACGGCGCGCACGTCGTATAGACTCGGCCCCTGGTTTTCATAGCTGGTCTCGGATCAGCCTCCAAGCGGTGATACGTTTTTGGTGGTGTTGTTGCGTCTCTGTCTCTGTATCTTCTCCTGGTTGGAATCGCGCGCGCGCGCGATCTCCGTTTTCGTGTTCCCCTTTTCGCGGACAAATCTAGGGGTTAGGGAGCACGATCTCCTACGAATTAGGGCACAAACGCTTGTGTACCTCGGCCGTCTGCTATCAGAGCACGACCAAACCGGTGTGACGAAGAGCTCTCTATTTTTCTTCTTCCTCAGAGGCGAACAGATCATCAACCGGTGCCCTATACATCTCGTTCTGGTCCCAAAGGTGGGTTATTTCGGCTTCCCGGAAACCAAGTTTGGGGCCCCTGTAACACGCGACGGAATAGTAGGCCGATAAATAGGGGTGGCCCTATTTGCAGGATGGTCCTGCAACGGAATGTTGCAGGATGGAAAACGCCTCCAGAACCAACCCACCACAAACCCAGAATCAAGCAGCGAACCAAGACACACAGAAACACAGTAAAACACAGACACTTGCTCCACAGACCACACGAAACCAGCACGAAACACACAGCCCACAACCGGGCAGACTACACACAGCCCACACAGCAGACATACAAGGTTGAACCAGGGGTTGTACCTCTCTCTGTCTCCGCCCAGTGATGCTGACTCCCAGTTCCAGTTCTTACCTCACATAGCGTGTAGAGAGACACATTATCAGCGTGTCGGTGTTTACCCCCCTCCAGTGTGACCCTGGATGGTTGTAGCGTTGTAATTGTACGCAAAAATACGCTGAAAAAGTGTACTGCTCTACACACACTGAAAAGTGTAGACTAGTGCACGTCTCACCACGAGAAATGGAGGGACTGTCGTCATAACAAAAAGTAGGACGAAATCACACACACGCGCACAGAGAGAGGGAGCAGCAGAGGGCTCCAGACTACAGCAGTACCTGTGGTTGATATAAATTGGCTTGCGGACCCCTCGAGTCCATTTTATATGAGTGTACCTTTCTAGCGTAAGTTAGCCTGCGACCACGGGAATCGACCGCGTCAAGTATTGGATCAGTACGGACAGTCATGAAGGCTAGGTAGAGAGATCGAAACGGTTTTTTTATGTGACAACAATTTTTTTGAGGCCACTGCTGTGTAAAGTACGGGGGGGGGGCGTACTCATTTGTTGCTTGCCGTAGTCATTTGACCATTGACCACGCGTCCCTTTCGAGACGGAGCACCGTTCCTACACCTACTAGAGACACCACCAACATTTGGGAGCTCTTTACGTTTCTGCCACAAACTCCATAAAAATTTCTTGCACATCTTATCCCCGTCCTCTAGGGCCTCTTGTGCCCACCATCTATCCCCAATTATCGCGATCGTTTTTTCGCTGTTGTCTAATTTACCAAACTTGTCCATGTCACACCCTCTCTGTCTCATTTCCTCCTCGAGATCCTCTCTTTCCTTCCTGTACAACTCACACTCCCCAACTATGTGGGGTCTACTCTCCTCCGATTTGCCACATGGACATGTGTGTCTATCCTCCTCTTCCTCTCTCCTACGGCTGGTATACCTCTTCCTCCGTTCTGGCAAGTCCAGATCGCCTACTCGAAATTGCAATTTCAGCTTTTTCGCATAGTCCATGGGGCCGTCCAAGTACTTCTTCATCCCTATCCCTTCTTTCAACTTCCCGTATATCTCCAAGTGGTCTTCGCTTCGTACCTTCTTGCGAAGGGTTGTCTCCTCCCTACTCTCTAGCATCTCCTTGACTTTCGTCTTGAACCCCCCGAACCCTTCCGTGTCCAACGTCTCCTCCTCGTC